ATTTTTCATGTGTTAACTTCTACATTTCTATTGGTCCAGCTCATAACACGCGAGCTCTGTAAGATACTTTTTAGTGAAACTTATTAAGATATATTAAGCAGTTATATAGGATACATTCTGCAGAATTCACATCCTGACAAACTTCATAAGATACATTCACAAGATACATTTAGCAGATTTCTCATCCTAAATTCTCATCTATTCTTCATTGTCTTATTAACAATTAGTCTTCTTCATTTCTTTGATACAATATTTTGCCAAGGACTCATGCTAGCTTAAAGTCAGGGTTGTGCAGGCCTTCTAAGGAGCTATGGCCTCGAGAAGCAAGCCATTCTTCAACACACCACTGCTGTGCAGAGGAGGAGAGAGGATCAGGAATCTGAGTCATGGGCTGGCTGACATTTCCAAATGCAAGGTAAGGTTCAGGCAGTTTCCAGCCAGGCCATGCTGCCCTCCCTGCAGCTCTCCCCATAAGGCTGCTGTCCAGCTGGCTGCTTCTGAAGACCCACAGGATCCTTCACAGCCTGGTTTCACCTGGATGCAGTCCTGAACCCTGATGTTAAAGAAGCTTCCCTGTCTGACCATCCAGGAGGCACTCTGGCAGTCACACCACCTGAGCTGGGAATGAAGCCCCTTCACAGCTTACACTCCTCACACTCACAGTCAGACCAGGATTTCAGCTCAACCCCAGGTTTCCCATAGCAGATTCTCAGACATCCATGTCCTTCAAACAGCTTAATTGTGGTGGAATAACTAAATAACAACAGCTCCAGCTGGTGCCTCTGAGAAGGGACCCTGAACAAAGGAACCCCTGAGCTTTCATACCCTAACAGCACCAGTGTCTGGGGGGGGGTCTCAGCCCCTTCTGTGTCTCAGTGTCCAGTCCCTGATGGTGCCACAGGTCCCTGTGCCCCTTCCTGTGCCAAGGGTTACCAGCTCATGGTCTCTTGCCTTGGGCTCCCAGCCAGAGCTCAGCTTGTGTGGGAAATGGAAAAATGAAATTTTCTACGGATGTTGAAGGGTTCAATCTGCAGCCTTGGAAAGAGCTTGGGTTAATGAAATAATAAAGGTACACAAACATTAAGTAGAAAAATTATAACTTGTGTTCCTATAGTTATAAGTAAGAATGTATTGAGTAAGTAAGAAATTACATTAGGTAAAATAGTGTGAGGTTTGAGCTGTAATAATGGGACTTATAGAGTAGGCTGGGGATCTAGAAGCTATAATAGAGCTGTGTATGAGTATGTGACCTGTCAGCTTATTGGCTAAGAGACAGATGCAGTGCAGCAAAATTAAGCAAAGGTGATAGGTTAATAAGTAGAAACAAGTTTTGTGTCAACTGTCTGTTGGACCAAAATGTTATATATTGCCGTGTGAAGAAGAAACTTGTGACTTCCTTGAGCTATGGCTGACTTGTTGCTCCCCTCTAAATCTCACACCTTGGGACTGATATCTTATCTGGCTACTTGAGCAATAAATCATCTCAAAGCAAGGTTGTCCCATCCCTCTTTTTTCATCTCTACAAGCCTGCAACTCTCATTGCAACTGGAACTTCCTCAATAGCCTGCCTCCCTAACAGGCAAATGCCAACCATAATGGGGCACGAGGGGAAGGGGAAAGGCACCAGAAGGGGGAGAAAGCAGCAGACGGAGACTGTGTGAGGGAAATAATGTATTTCCTTTTTCCAGTCGAAAAATGTGCTGGAGCCCTGCTAATTCTGGCAATGAAGTGGGTTGCTTTCATGGTTTGGTAGAATCCTGGGGCCAGAAGCCCTCCTGTCTTGGGAATGCCAGGACCCAAGTGGGAGTGTGAGAGTGTTCCTAGCCCTGACAGGGGACAGTGGGGGGGTGGCTGCTGCCCTTGATACCTAGAGATTTCCGCTTTCTATACATTTTTCATATATTTGTAGATTTGTAGACTACTAATACATGGCTTGTAGCACAGGTTGTAGCTTCTAGTACTTTTCCTACTCTTCCCTCTACTTTTTTGAACAGTAAGCTAACCTTTTAACACATTCCTGAAATGGTATTTAATCTTGCTTTTTAGGCTAGCAAGGACACTGTGTTTTCCACTAGAACTTAGAAGACATAACAAGAAAGCCCCTGGAACAACTCCAGTGGGGCGGAACCCAGAGAAACTAACCAACTGCTCTTCTAATGGGACAATATTTTTTAGATATGCTACTTTGTTAAACTTACAAAAATTGTAGAAATACAGTGCCAGGCGTGCCCATGACCATGGGGGCACCTGGAAGCTTCTAATGAAGACCTGTGGGTTTTTCCTATTTTAAGACTAGTGCAAGAGTTTTCTCTTTTGACATTAGGCAACACCCTGGGCAGAGGAACTTGCTACCACCACTTCCCCCTGCTCTTTCTGGGGCTGCACCTGCTCTGTACCAATCAGCACAGATGGCTGGAGGATGTGGAGGGCACAGAGGGCAGCTTCTGATGTGCTGGGTTGGTGCTCCATGTCAGAGCCTGCAGGGCTGCTGGCAGGGGTTGGATGCCAGCTGGGAGTCCCTCCCTGGGAGCCGGTGGAGCTGGTGGAGTGGGAACTGGCCTCAGGGCTGTTGTCCTCCTTCCCAGCAGCATGGGAGAGCAGCAGCCTCTGGGCCTCCTCACTGCATTGGCCCACAATGAAATTGACAGTGCCAGCAACCAGCTGTTCTGTATATTCCTCCAGGAGAGGCTGCAGCATCTGGACCATGACCTCCCCATTGTCACAGATCAAGTGGTAGCTTCAGGCAAACCCTATCTTAAACTCAGATTTTTGACAACTTAAATTTAGGTGGCCCACACCTAAAATCACTCTGGTCTGCAAGTTCTAAGGACTGCAGATCAAGTCTATTTATAAAATGAGTTATTTATTGAGCAGACAGCAGATAACTGAAACAAGGTCTTAATCAGTTAGTTACTACGTGATATAAACCAAACAGGTCATCTAATAGATGACATAAAACTGTACACAATATTATTGCACCTATATTAAAGCTAGTAAAAGAGTTAGTATAGATTGGGAGTCAGATGTAATTTACTGCTGAAATTATGATAGTGTACACCAAATCCTTTCACTCAACCTCAGAGGAGTAACCACAAATCAGCTGTCTGCACTTTGGGGGAAAATCCCACACAATTTTAGGGAATGTGTAGACAACTTCCCGCTTTGTGAAAATTTGGTGTAGATTTTATGATTTGTAAGGTGAGGTGTCTGTCAGTCAGAAATTCCAGCTTATCTTTCCAGATGTCACTCCCACAGTGAGATGTTTGTTGTCAACTGGGAGTGTTACTCCCATGGTGAGAAAATAACTCACTATAGGACAGCTTGTCATGTTTGCATTTTTCTACCAATTAGCAAGAAACATCTAAGTTCTTCTGGGGCAAGATGCTCTGTTATTCCACCAGCTAAAAGCAACAGATAAGCTGTTCTGGGGCAAGATGTCCTGCTACACCCATCTGGACCACAGAGGAACAGGGCATACAAAGTTGCTCTCACTGCCAGCCACCATGAGGATGCTGCAGGCCCCTGCTTAGCTGGGGAGAGTATGGAAAAATGGACATAATAAAATGGAGAAACATTGGTTCCTTGCTGTCCCAAGGAGGAGATGAAGAAATGCCCAAGCCCCTGGAGCAAGATACCCTCCTGACTCCTCAAGCCCTTCTCACTACCACCCTGAGGACACTCAGCCCTCCTTTTACAGATATTTATATATACTCATTTTATTTATAAAATGAGTTATTTATTGAGCAGACAGCAGATAACTGAAACAAGGTCTTAATCAGTTAGTTACTACGTGATATAAACCAAACAGGTCATCTAATAGATGACATAAAACTGTACACAATATTATTGCACCTATATTAAAGCTAGTAAAAGAATTAGTATAGATTGGGAGTCAGTTTTAAACAGTTTTCCCAGTTCAGGGATTAGGTTTCTCACTCTTCATACAAGTGAGCATGTGCAGCCCAGTATTCTGGACCTTTCTGAAAATGGGCTGGGGGGCTTTTTGGGTTTTTGGTGGACTTGATTCTCCCTCTATTGGTCTTGCTTGCTCCTTGACCCCATTCCTGCACTTTAAAGCTGTCCTTTATGTTGTGTGGTCATCATGGACTGCAACAGGAAATTCAGCTCCAGAATGGTGCTGCCTTACCTTCATACGGCTCCCCTTTCCAGGCACATCCTACTATAACTGGCCTGCCTGATGGTTGTTGGTGTTTAGGGCATAGCAATGCATTAACTCTTTACTGCTTAGGTTTCTACATTGGTGAAAAAACCTAGTGACCATCTGATAGGGACAAAAATCATCCTTAGGGCACAGAGGACAGTGAAGGGCTTCACATTCTTAATGTCAGGGCAATATCTGCACTTTTTTTCCCCCCTTTCTCTTGTTTTCCTAGTGTTGGGTTTCTTGCACTTGTTGCAGACTTCAGGTTCCAGATGCTACTTTTCTGCTGTAGATGTATCTGTATCAGTATATCTGTAGGGAAGGCATTGATTTGTGCAGAAGGGTGTGTGAAGCCAAATTCTTCTTAGATGAGGGTGAAGGGATCCCTGAGTTTAGGGCTGCCTGGGCAATGACCAAGCTAGCAGGAATTTCTAGAATTTGGATGCAGAGTATTCTCAGAGCAGAAAATACAGGTTTCTCTCTTTTTTTTTTTTTCTTACAATTTAAAATTTAATTCAGTTTAATGAAATTCAAATTAATATAACACAGACGGAAAGGGTTGTGGTCCACAATACCCTGAACTGCAGCTGGTCCATTCTGCAGTTCAAAACATTTTTTCCTTTAGGAACCGCAAGATCTCCTTCAGCAGATTAAAGAATTGCCGCAGCTTTTCACGTGGAAATGGACAGGGTTTTGTTGGTTCTGGCGTCTGCAGGGGGGTTGGAGTAACTGTTGGTGCTGGCCTTGTTCCAATCGTGGTCCGGATCCAGTTGTAGTAGTACTGAGTGGCGCTGGACACTGCAGGCCGTTTAGGTCTAGCACAGCCTACTCCCCAGCTGGTCACACCAATTTGCCAGAAGAAGTCAGCATGCTTATCTTGGCAGACAAGAGGCCCCCCACTGTCACCCTGAAGCAGAGCAGAGAGGATTAAGGTGCTTTGGCATGCCCCTGTCAGCAGTTAAGAGTTGGCTCCTGTATTCTCCCAGCTCCTGCCAGAACTGGATTCCCGGCAGAGCAAGGCTCAAGTGCTGGAACCTGCAGAACCTTGACACCTTTGGGAGCAGGTTGGAGGCCTGTAAGGTAGGGCTCTGTCTCCCCTGTGCTTGGATGTTTCAGGGTTGGTGTCTGGACCTCACTGAGCAAGGATCCATGGATGGGAAAGGGGATGGAAGCTCCAGCAGCAGTGCAGAACTGGGGCTGGGAGAGCCAGGGAAAGCAGGTGCTGGGCTGCATTTGGGTGGTGTGATGGGGCTGCCCAAAATGCTGGGGTGTGGGGGATTCATAGCACTCTCCTACCTGGCAGGTACCAACGCCGCCCTGCCCAGCACACACGTGGAAGTCGTAGATGTACCCATTCAGCCACTCACTACTGTTGCAGAGCTTGTTATCCACGACTTGCACCTTGGCCTGCTGCAGGATATCTCTACCTGAAGCTGTGAGCAGAGAAAGGAATGAGCTCCCAACAGCTCCTTGCCCTTCTCCTGGCCTGTCTCTGTGTTGAAATCCTTCCCTAGGGCTTAGGTCTGTCTCTAGAGAGGTGTTGGGAGTGCTGTGTCACTGCTGTCTGGTGTTGAGCAGAAAGCCAGACCCACCTCTCCAGAGGCATATGTTGCACAGCCCAACTCTCATTTTGGTCTCTGCTGTCAGGAAGCCCCAGCAACCTCTCCCTGGTGTACCAAGCTTGCCCTCAAGGCACAGGTCCTTTATAGGAACTCACATTTTACAATTCTGTCACCCCAGCCAGCAACATAACAGTTTTTCAGCTCAGACACTTTCACTCCAGGACCAGGCAGGCAGGCGGTCTGAATGGAGGAGCTGCATGGGACTGGCCGGTCCAATTCCAGCAAGGCGATGTCGTTATACTCAAGTTGAGGAATATAATTTTCATGCATGATCAGCCGCTTAATCCGGCGCACTACCACATCAGGGCCTGTCTGGCCCAACGAGGTGGCCCCGAGCACGATGGCCCACTGGCTGATGGGACTGGAAGACAGATGGAGAGAGGGGTGAGAAGGATGTCATGTGCTGTTACAGCCCAGCACTTCCCTGCCTTCTGCTTTATGAGATAGAGAGGTAAAAGCATGGCAGAGAGTGAAAGTAGGCTCGAAATACATTAAGCTGGAGGCTGCTAGGAAGCAGTGGCATGAGCCCAGTCTTCTCCTTGAGCACTCTCAGCTGTGCCCTGCAATGTCCTGGACACTGAAAGGAAATGGGATGGGAAAGCACTCACTGGTGGTATGGATATATCCCCATGCCCAGGTCCTCCTTACTTTGTGATGTTGATGAAGCAGTGGGCAGCTGTCAGGAGCCACTTTGAGCTGATGAGGGTCCCTCCACAGACATGCACAGATACTGGTGGGTTCCAGAAGCAACGGATACTGGCAATCCCAGCCCAGGCTCCAGAGCCTGGTGCGACATCTGTGCCACCCACAACGCGTGATGAGCCGAGGGCAGTACCCATGGGCCGGAGCCCACAGGTTTGTCTGTAAGCAGAAAGTCATTACTGTCCTTTGAGAAGGCTTCAGCTGCTATGCAGGATGAAGGTCAGCCAGCTTCCCCTCCCAAGGCTTTGGTTGCAAAGTCAGCAGGGTCAGGGAACTGCCTGGAGCATGCATATGTCTGCCCGTTTCTGCTCCAGCGCCATAGACAAGTGGTGCCAGCAGTCTGCGTGCTGGTGATAGACTGAGATTCCCCCCCAGGGTTTTGGAAACTGGTATGGTCACAGGTGGCAAGTGGGCACCTCAGGGAAGCATTTGCCTGGGCCCCCTTAGAGCCTGGGACTACTTACCCACAGATGCCATGTGCAGGCCCGCACATAGCCAGCAGGATGAGGATGCACAACAAAATCATTGCTGTCAGAGACACAAGTTAGCTGCAAGGAGAGAAAGCTTGTCACCACCAGTGCAGCTGCTAATGTAGTGCCCACAGAATCTGCACTGCTGCTGTGCCCTTGGCCCTGGGGCTGATGTCACAGAGGGACTGGTTCCATCTTCTGGGTATGGTGCTGGGCTCTGGAAGTAAGGGGGAAGGGCAACTTAAAGGCACAGAACCACAGAAACCAAAACACCTACACCTACACACCACCCAAAATACCTACAGAATTTGCAGCAACAACAATTAAAAGCAAAACACATTCTGATTTTTAAAACAAATTTGTGACATTGTTTTCATTATCTTTGCTTGAGATAGAAAAATCAACTAAACAAATATAACCATCTCAAGGCCTAAGCTCTTTTGGTGTTTAGAAACTAAGTATGAAGAACTCTAGTTAAAAGTCATTCTCCTTCAAGAAGCTTGACCCCCTTTACAGTTGAGCCTGTTTATTTAGTTGCTTCCATTGGACTGCCAAATAGCCTACCCCTATTTTGAGAGGTACAGCAGAGGCTGTGCATTGGACTGCCATTTCAGTTACTGCCAACAAGTTCCTCTCTTTGATGACCAAATTCCATTTTCCTTAGCTTTCCTTTGATGAAGTTTAAGGAAGACCAAGGAGATGGATAGTTCCTGCCCAGATATCCAGACTCCAATTTCAAGTTCCCTGGTGTGCTGACCATCACACACACAGAAGGATCATATGTCAGCCACCTAAAACACTGCATTTCCAGCTGCTCTTCCTGAGACCTGGAAACCCCTAGGATCCGTGTTCCTTTATTCCACTGCACCCTTGCCCTCCTCTCTGAGTTGGCACAGTTCTGGCCCTTTGGAGGGACCCTTTCCCTTAGTGCCTGACCTGCCGGCCCACAGCTGCATTTTGAAGGTTCCAGCTCACGGAGGTCTTGCCTCACACAGGAGAATGAGTGGGACTGCATACATGGTTATCTGTGAAAACAGGCCACTTTATTTCTACAGCAACTAAATCACCATCGGCCATTGCGCACATGTGGAAGAGGAGTGTGGGCTGGACACAGTGGGCCTTTGGCACTGAGAATGCTTTTGGCTCAGCAGGCATTGCCCCAGAAGGAAAGGGCTGTAGTCCATGCAGCCTGAACTGCCTAGCATGCCTTAGGCTCCAGGCTGCCTGCCTTCAAGCTGCAGTTGGACTTGAGTGTGAGATGTGGCTGGTTTTTTTCTTTCTCTCAACTCAGTAAATCTGGCTCTTCCAGAACTTCTTCCCCTTCTCTTGCCTTGGTTACAGGGGAAAAGAGAAACAGAAATATTTATTTCCATTTATTGCTGTAGTTCTTTGGCTCTTAAGGCAGAAATGCTCTTCATGCAGTGCCAGCAGTGGTATTTTGGGCGAAGTAGGCATGAGCTCTAGGCCTTTGGCTTTTGCAAAAGGAAAAAAAGAGAAAAAAAAGAGAGGAAAAAAAATATATTAAAAAAAAAAAAAGAGAGAAAAAGAGAAAAAAAAAAAAAAGAGGAGAAAAGAAGAGGAAAAAAGACAAAAAAGAGAATAAAAACAGGATAAAGGTTTTCCTTGGAATGTGTGTTTACACCAAGGGAAGCCTGAACCTCGTGTGGCTGAAGTTCCATCCTTGCAGGTTCTTGAGGGCCTTTTTTATTGATGGCCATGTCCCATGGCCAGGTGTGATCTAAGGAGGCCTGTAGGTGTCACCTCTGGACACTGAAAGTTGCTGTGGTCAAAACTGCAGGTTTTTGGTTTTGCTTCAGTTTGGTATTTTCCCCAGTTTGTAAATTCCCCCCTTCCCTCTACTCACCTTTTATTTTCCCCATTAGGAAGTGCAGGAACAGGGCAGGAAGTTTATTTTTCGTTTGAAACTCTCAGCCTCTCCCTCTGTAATAACTACTTTCAGATTCCCACTGCATACAATATAAGTGATATCATAGGCTATTTAATATGGGTATGGAAAAAACTACAAGCCTGTGTTTTCAGAACTGTGCCTGGAGGAGGAGCCATGTATGGTTATGGACTTGCATGGATGCAGGGGTGGGTGATGCCTAGGAAGACATCAGAGAGCTGTACACACCCAGCCCCAGCTTGTACCTTCCCCCTCCTGTACAGATGAAGGCGGCAGCAAGTAACCAGGGAATGATGAGCAATGCCTTCAATATTCAGTATGAGAAGCTGGGAGTCTCTGTTGCGATCCTGGTAGAAGGGCCACCACTCTTGTGGGTTTGTCCATTGCACAAAGTCCCCACGCCTGTTGCACAGTGTTACAGCATGCGCAGCAGAATGTGCTATGATACTACACAAATAGTCAGGTATTTACACATGCTTTTAAAAAGTTTACAGCTTTTAAACTAAGGGGGAAAGCCTCCCCAGAGGCTCTGGTGTGAGCCTTCACCACAGGGCTGGACAATTCATAGTTCAATTTCTCACAGAGGCTGCTCCTAACTTGGGAGCAGTCAGAATGTGATGGCTGCAAACATTGGTCTCCGATTTTTTGTTTTGTTTTGTTTTGTTTTTGAGTTCATTATCACAGGGCTGATTTGATCTTATCACATTGTACCATGAAAAGATTTTAAAAAACCCTGCTGCATCATGAACAAATCTGAGTTGTCCAGCCAAAACTGAAGTTTGAGAAGAGGCTTCATAATTTCAGGAACACTTGTTGCCAGCACTTATTGCAAAGCTGGAGCAAAATGGATTTGGAAGAAAGGACAGGTCTGCACCATTGAGGGATACAGTGAAAATGAAATCAAGAGAAGTTGATTTCATCCAACTGGGATGGACGCACTAATTTAATTGTGGTTTCTGCATCAGCTGGCTCCCCAATATCAAGAGCAAATGCCACTTTTCTGCAGAATCTGAGTCCGGTGCAAGGGTGTGCAGATACCAGTGGTCAGGCACAGCCACTGGCATCATGAACCCGATAGCTGGAAGCATGAGAAAGAAGAGAACTTTGCTCCCAAAGACCACGACTATTATGTAACAATCCACATCACTCACCAATCTCCTTGATGCACTACCTGAGGTCTTCTACAGGCAGGTCCCATGGGGCTAGTTCTTCTGAGGGAAAGTGGCATTGTTTAGCAAGATGACCTTTTTCCAGACTTTTTCTTTTTTTAAGGCAGTTTAAGTGCATAATTTAGCTAAACACATCTTCCTTAGAGGGATCCTGCCTTTAAAAATGGAAGTGTTGGGGAAGAAAGCAGTCTGTCCTTATGCAGAGGTGAAATAGATGTTTCTCCTCCATGGCTCTGGGCAGGCCTGCACAGACCTAGGGGAAAGCGCCTAGCCCAGTAATAATGGCTGAACTGGTGCGCATCTGATGCCCCCTTTGAATGTGAGCATGATAGCTATAGTAATAGGATGGAGTTTTGTCTTCTATCCCAGACACCCCATCCCAGTGGGTACAGTTCATCCTCAGGACCAAGTTGGATGAGCACCACATCCCTCATGACTTGCTCTCTGAGCTGGGTGGGATCTGTATGAAAGAGGCTGAAGATGCTGAGTGGAAAGAAATGGTAAGGTAAATCCCTGCTGCTGGCTACAATGGGAGAGAAGTGCCCACACTGGCAGTACCCTCGGGCTCTGCTTTCTGCAGGAAGAACACTTTCTGCAGCTGCAAGTGCTGATGTGAGCAGCCTTCTCCCTTGCCACCCTAGAGCTTTAGAAATGGAGATATGGAGCTGAAGGGGAGGTGAAAGACAGTATCAAGTGCAGGATCAAGCCCTATGTGGCCACTCTGTCCTTGCACAGCCTCTGAGCTGGGGAAATGCACCACCAATTAAAAGATTCTGCCATCTTTTAATGGACAACGGTGCCAATAGCATCAAAGACACTGAAGGTAATTTGGGAGCCACATCACTCTGGGAGTGGCCAAGCCTGGTTTGTCACATGGCCCTTCACTCCCAAATCAACCCTGCCCCAATGACACACCCCTTTTTCAGAAGTCCTGCTGTATTATAAAATTCTGTAGTCATCCTTCTAGCATAGCTAAGACTGCTTCATTAAGTCGATTCCTAAGGCATCTAAGGAAACATTTACTTACTGCATTTCAGCCTATTAGTCTGCATTTTGTACAGCCCCTAATACCTGGTGTCCCACAGTTGGTAGTCTCACATAGTAAGTACTTAGTTATACAAAGAATTCCATGATCCTGCATTACCTGGGTTAGCTCGAATGGTTCAAGCTTTTGTCCTGCATCTATGGCCATGCTTAACTAGCCGTACTAGCTAGCCATACTCACACTAGCCCTAACCAGCATCCAGCTAATGGGACATCCAAGTCTTTCTGGCTCTCAGGGTGGAGTGGCAGTCTTCACCTTCCCTTGGGGGTTTTTCCAAGCCCTCCTAACACTGCGTTTCTACTCTTTGTCTTTCATTGACACCTCACCCTTTTCCTGACCCTCACCCTGGCTCTAAGCACATGTCCAACATGAGCCTTGCCATGAGCTGTCTGCCTTGCACTGGGTGTTAGCCATTTCAGACTTCATCAATTCCCAATACACTCAGAAAAAGGAGAATTATATTTAAGCATTTATTATGTAAGGAGGAATTGACTCCAGTACAATTTACTAATAGAGCAGGAGACTCTCCCTTAAAATTGTTTCTCTGTAAGACCTCTACTACTGACATAACAAAAGTATGAGACAAATGGTAAAATGAAAAAACCTCCCCAACTTTCTTGGTACACTTTCCTGTCTAAAACTCAGCTCCATGTTATTGCTTCATAGTTGTTACTAAAGCATTTTAATAGAATAGTATATTTTATAAAATTCCAGAACAGAAAATGGGATCCTCTTCCACAGTTTTGATTTTAATTTTTTTAAGACTCAATACTGTGGTCAGGGATAAAATAAAACACATGTGAGGGGACAGCAGGGATAGAAAAGTAGAAGTTTAAAACTGACTTCTCATTTAATTTAAGAAGTGACTAGGAAGAAAAAGTTGGCACATATATATGTATATATACACACATACAAACACATACATATACACACACAGAGAAATAGTCAAAGATGGAAATAGTATTTCTGTAGAATTTCAAAGATTTAAAATAAAGGAGGAATCAAAGTAGCAACACGTGACAGTATAAAAACTCCAAGAATATACTGAATTGCAATTCTTATTCCATAATTTAACAACAGTTCTAAATCTGCTTGCACGAATCCACAAAAGATATATTGGAAGTGAAATGAAAAGATAAAAAAAGGATGTTTACTCTTGAATATATTGTATATATATATATATATATTATACCTCCCAAATGGCTTTTTTCACACCACTTATGAAAGACATAGACAGCACTGCACGTATTTCATCTTTATAGTGTTGCACATTAGGGTTTTAGCTCCTATTCTTCAAAAGACTTTGAGGATTTGTCTCACAAGATATTTTTACAATAGTAGAAAGTAAAATCATTAAAATCTAAATTAGAAGCTTTCTTAAAACTAATGCCATGAAGAGTGAGTAGTGATGACTAATTACACAGTGATTTACAAGTTACCAGGCAATGAACAACCAGAAGTTTACAAAAATGAAGTGAACAACTAATCTGTCAACTACAAACCCTCTGCAACAAGTGGTGAAATTGGCAGTCAGTAGTCAAAAGGGCACAAATCAGTATCAGCCTAACAAATGAACTCACCTGAAAAAATACTATTTTGTGCAGTTGTTCAGAGACCAATACAGCAAAATCAGTTAAAGTTTGATGATAAGTGATGAGATTCTCAAAATTTTCTAATAAATTCAAAGTAGAAGTTCCAAAGTCACACCACTGTTTCTGGAAACATCCCAAAAATGCTTGTTTTTGATGCTGTTTCTTCTTTTCCACACTACCATCCAGCTGCTTCTATATATCAAATTGCATATTATTAGCATAGGATTTATTTTTTTTATGTGTAATACCTAAAGAGCACTATGAAAATAAAAAATCCAAACTTAAATGGAATTGTAATTGTATTTATTTCACCTCTTGAACTTTATAACATTCACTACTACTTACATATCCGAAATATAATTCTGTTTCACAACAGCTTCTGTATCTACAAATGTGGAAACCACATACAGTATTGCATTAAGAAAAAAATCTACTGCTCAGTGAGCAGTCAGCAAAGAAGTAACAGTTCACGGTAATTCTTTCTTTCTTACCTGTCAGCATTAACCCACTGCCAAGAAATTCTAACACAACTCTGAAGGAAGGGTCTAAGTTTCACATATAAAATTATATTTAATAATTTGTGCAGATGTTTGGTCTATAGATGAAAAGTTTCAGGGTAAATACTTATATATTGCTCAAAATGCTTAAAGGAAAATAAAAATTTATCTGAGACATGCCCTGAGCTATCTAGATTCCTTAATAGTGCAATGTTGCCATGATGCCTGGTTTCACCCTGGCTTTTGCAAATGAAACACAGTAACTGCTCACAGAGCTGCTAAATGGCTGACACAGCACAGTATCATATGCACTACAGCAGTTCTTGTAGCTTTGCCAAGTTTCTCTCCATCCACTGGATATTGAGCTGAATTGTGTCAATTGCCTCTTTTACACAACGCAGTTGAGAACTCTCCTCTGATTTTGACTCAAAAAATGACTTGACCTGCATAGCAAGAATAAAGAAGGAAAAAGAAAATTGTAATTAAAATTAACACCAGCCAAACAAATAGGTTCAGCAGCAAAGGATATACACGTGTTGCAGGAAATCAATTTCTGAGAATTGTTTGTATCTCTGCAGTAAGCAAACCCCTCAAAGGAGTTCCCAAAATGCAAGGAAAGCATTTTTCATGGATACAGCAGCAGTAACTCATTTGGTTTCAATATACAATTTTGCCAATAAACAGATATTCATTTACCCTATCACAAAGCTAACAGAGAGTACACAGAGTAGTTCCATTCTGTGACAAAGAATTGGTCGTTGCTAGCAACCCTGTTCAGCATTCTGGAACAGCTTCCACACCCAATCATCATTGTAACTGTCAATGCTAACACTTACATTTTTATAGATCAAACCATTAACACCTATCTCTACCAAATAATCTGAATGAAAACACTAGACTAAACTGTAAATGATTCTTGATACAATAACTTCAAGGTCTTTTTAGGGAAAACAACTGAGCTTTCTAAAAGCTATTAAACTCTTGGCAGATACTCAACTTCCACAATAACTCTTTGGGATTGTTGACAAAAAAAACAGGCATAAAGCAATTTTTATGGCACAGTAACACATTTCAGAAATACAGAAAGCATAGCTTGTTTAAAAAATCTAGACCAAAATTACATGTAATTCAAATCATTATTTTGTGAGACAGGGTGCAGGAACAGGGTGCATTCCAGTGCACAGGAAAACACAACAGTAAAAACCAATAACTGGGTTCAACTCTGTAATGCACCTCTGTCACAGACTCAGTATATAATCCCCCAATGTCTATGCATATATTTGCCATGTGTGAACCAGGGAAAGCAACTGATACAAATACTTGCACCAGGGTGTCAAGAATATAAATAACATGTTCACATGTGCTTCATTCATCCTTCAACTAAAAGAAAACAGCACTGGCACTAGAAAATACCCCTTTCTAGCAGATTGAGCCACCAACCTCAAGTAGATGTGCCTTTGTTGCAAACTGAGAAGTTGACCAGCTAATGATATTCTGGATGGTATAAGAGCCTAGGTGAAACCTGAAAGACAAACAAGTATTTTCAGCTAGGAGACATTTTAAGATGCAGTTTTGGTATATGTATGCATTCTTTTCTACTGTTTCTACTTTTTTATTTAGTAGTTGGAAAATATTAAAAGCAGTTAAATTCAATACCTTACATTACAATTACATACCTTATTTTTCAAAAGAAATACATGGTCTTAGAAATCCAAGCTTCTAGCTCCTTATTCCCTCTAAAAATGTAATGTTAGAGCAAAAGCCATGGAAAATTTTCCAACTTCTATCACAGATCAAATAGTAAAGAACTGAGGACACCACACAGTGAATATCAAGATCTGTATTTGTGGTACTGTATGTGCACTGAAGTTCTACCAGAACTGAACTTGCTACCAGGTTTCTTCCAAGCGAGGTAACTCTGTAATATTGGTTACAAAGAGCTTGCTAGAGCAGAAGTTTTCACAGAGGAGAAACATTTTTAGCAGCGTGAAACTGTTAAAAATCAAAGCTGGAATTTAGAAACAGAGGTTTCTAGTACTGTTGGCTTTTTGAGGACTTGCAGGGCCAGCTTTCCTGCTGGGTACCCTTCAAGGCCAGTGAAAGAATGTATTTCTGAAGCAAGTGGGTTATTTTGGTTACTTGGTTTTAGGAGTGCTGTGACAGTTCAGAAAAAAATAAATACTGCATTAATTCTCTGGATGTCCTTTTGGATCCATTTGAGCCACATAAATATCTTGCAACTGAACCAAACATCTTAGAGACAGAAACCTTTCAAGAGAAATTAAGATCAAGATTGTTTAGAGTTACTCTGAGGCTTTAGTACAATTGAGTTGAGACTTCAAATTTTATGTAGCAAGTTATATTTTTAAACTCTGATTTTAAAATATGGTTCAGAATTTTTATATGAATCCTCTTAGATGAATGATACTATTTATTGTCTTGTTTGAAAGAAACAAACAGGTGCTTTTGCCACTGTGAGTTTGAAGTTTCAGCTGCATCAAATGCCTTACTTTTGTGTAAGTTTTTCCCAGTTCTCTTTGACGAAGTCCCAGGCCAGCAAATATCCAGGCAAACTCTGGCTAACAGTTGCTATGATATGTGAAAGCTCCTGTGACCTGATGATTTCTCCTTCAAGACTGTTCTGCATTAGCCTAGGAGACAAAGCATATGCAAAGAAACAGGAAAAAAACATCTATTCATATGTCCACATGGGTTTCCTGAAAGTCCTCAATTAGATGGAAAAGATGATATAATACATCAAGCAAGCAGCTTCTAGCATCTGGGAGAAATTAATGTTACATTTTACCACAACAACTGCATTTACTTAGCTTTAATTTCCAGAAATCAGAGTGACCCTAGCTTTAATCCAAGTACCTGAATTTTCACTGGTGTTGGAAAAGATGAAGTAAATTCTAGTAACTTGTAAAAGAAAAACAATACATCGAAGAGGTAAGAGAGGGAAGCTGAAGACTAAATTAGCAGTTTGTGTTCTCCATGCAGTATTAAGATTTAGTCTACAGAGAGGAATATAATGTAAAGTCAAATTTTCACCCAAAGAAAGAAATGGAAAAAAAGAAGAGGAAAAATAGCAAACAAAAAATATACCTCAACTAGTTATTATTTGAATTATAAAGACATATCAATCTTTTAGGGTTCTACAGAACAGCTTGCAATTTTGTTACCTGCACTGCAAAATCTGAAATTATGTGTCACCAGCAGTGCAAAGCCTTTACATTCAATTCTTTTCTCTTTATGCATATTCAGAATTTGTTTTTTTGTGCTGCTCTGTTACGTAAGTAATTTTTAAGTCAAAAATCTCAGGTTCTTCCTGTGTATGGAAGCCTGTGCAAAACATCTGCATGGATTTTCTTTAGCAATCAGAAATTTTTTCAACAATTGAAAAAAGGCAATGCACTTTTCCAAGAACATTTTATCATTTGTAATTTACACAGCATACAACTTTTTTGCTCCTTCATACCAGATCAGCTTTCTGGCATCCTCTGTGCTGGCCAAGGCTTCAATCATTTTGCTTTTCTCTGCTTCAGAAACTGAAGAGAAGTACATCTTCAGGAGGAATTCCCAGCCTTCATTAGACTTGGCTCCAACTGCAAATATGGCTTTCAGAACATCACTAGGCAGACTACAGGGAAAAACAAAAGCAACAAAACAAATAAGCAAAGGGGGCAGAAAAATACTTACCTGAGGAAAGAAGTCACAGAATTAAAAGATTAACTGGAAGGAGATGTCTTTCTCTTGGAGAAATTTGATTCTGTAGCAATTGGTAAGATTTGTCATGACTCAATTTCATGCCAATCTAATACTTTCTGTCACTAGGAAAAGGCAAATCATCTAGTCACATGAAAAAAAAGAAAATTGTGTAGAAAACTAAAAATTTTCCATGGCTCAAAATGCACATGAATCCAAAGCAGAATGAATTCTGCATGATAAAAGGTGTGCTTTGGCTTTGCCACAAAGTAATCTTCTTTCAGCATGCAGCTCAGGAAATGGAGATGAAAGAAAATTTTATGGCTGGTTTTGCAGTTAAACTTAATTAGAGTGGAGATAAAGTCTAGCAGTCATCCTCTCATTGTGAAACAGCAATTCCTTCTACACATGGAACAGTTAAAGATAGAATTGCATTCTTTATCAATACTAAGTTGTTTTGGTGGTGTGGTGAAGGTTTTTTTTTTAATTGTTCTTTTTGTTGTTGGGTGGCCAATGGTGGTGTTGTTGCCAATGGTGGCAATGTAACGGGAAACTAGATAGGTAAAGGGAGTGGAAGGTCAGTTTTTGTGGTACCTTATTGTTCCATTAGACTTCATCCATGTCTCAAACTTCTCAGCAGCAGTTGCTCTACAGTTTCTTATATCATGGGTGCAGGCAAAAGCCAGCAGTGTTGACCGGAGATCTCGTTCAGACATGGCCCCATCATCTGTCCAGTGCTGTTGATCAATTTTATCTCCAAGCAAGTGCTCTATCCTATGCTAAAGGAGGAAAAAGTTACTAGCAATAGCTAATTCCTTCCAAAAGGATTTTCTATACACAAAACTAGTTTAAAATAAGAAAAAAAAACCCC